TGATAGTTATAACTATCACTAACACAAGATAATGAATAGAACTCCTCTTCAAAATAAATTTCATAATGGGATAAAGTGCTTTAAGGTTTCAGACACAAGTGTTTAAGTGTCTGTAGATGTGTTAAGTGACAAGGATTGAATGTTTCAATGAAAAAGGACCGAAAATCCTGACCCTTACTAAAATATCAATAATGAAATTCCAAAACAACACTCAGATATTTGACTGAAGGTCACAGTAACACAGACTTAACCTTTGACACACACTGTTTCTAAGATGCATCAAACGAAAATTTCTCATAATCTTAAGCCTTATTAAATTATGTGATCCAGACAAGGATCAAGCAGTGATTGCGGACGGATCCCAAATGTGTCAATGGGTCTTTATTATAATAGGGATTATGACTAACCCCCCCCCCCCCCCCCAAAGTGTGAAACATGCATCAAAACTAGGGATGTCAACGAATAGTCGACTATTCGACTATCAGTCGAATGGACCGACGATCGAATAACAAAACGACATTCGAATAAATAATTTCGATAAAAGAGTGATAAAGAGACTTGTTGACTTTACATGTAGAAAGTACAGTTATTAGAAATGCTTCACTTCTGCGAGATTTATTGTCAATTAATATGTTGTTTTTGTAATAAAATTATCTTGCTATACTGCGCTTTCTTCGTAAAATTATTAATTGGACTTGATCTCATACCATGTACCCATTATAGCCGTGACATATTTGGACACTACGATAATTATTATAAAATTAATATTCTTTTACATATTTAAAAGACATTTTGATAGTTGATACAAAAAGTATATTCAAATATTTAACATTATCACAGATTAACCGTGTGCCCCCCCCCCCCCATCATTTTAATAAGCTTTAAAAAGAAATATCGCACAGTCATTTTATATGCTTCCTAAAAACGACTTTACATACCGATTTATGAACATTAACGACGGGGAAATCATACATTTTGGAGAAATTAGCGTTTTATGTTTAGTAAATATAAATACGCTATCCACATTTTAGTTCCATGTGAACATCTGTGTGTAACATTTGATGTCATATTTTTTAATAAATTTAAGAAAAGGGGATTTGGGGTTAAATATGTCATGTACCAATGAAGTTTAAAATAAAATTTTAGTTTCCGAAAAAAATTTCGAATATATTCCACTATCATTCGAATAATGCAATCGAATATTTGACTTAAGAAAATAAATATTTTGACATCCCTAATCAAAAGATATCCTTTTAAAAAATTTGTCTCACAGTGACTGATCTGAATTAGTAATTGCTACTACAGGGACATAGAAAGGTTAATAAAAGGCCATATTATTTAACAATGCAGCAACAAAATGTGAAACTGTAAGGGCTAACACTCCATTAAGAGGCTTTCCAAAAGCAAAATTAACAATGAACCTTATAAACTCATAAACAGACTCAAACATAACAGACACTAACACACACATTTAAATATACGTAAGTTTGAGATGTATAATATCCAAACGTCAATATTTTCACACAGTACATCCCCTAACTGCTATTCTTTCTTCAGAGTCCTGTCAGTCTGGTATTCCTCTCTTCCTCCTGTAAAAAACAAACCAATCATACCTCCTGTATAAAACAACCAATCATACCTCCTGTAAAAAAAACAACCAATCATATTCACCAAGGGTTTTTTATCCCTGCAATTAGGAATAGTACCAACAGTGATTCAATTTGGAGAAATAGCATCAAAATACACATATTATTTCCAGAATATTCTATCAATTTGCATCCTGAAATTATAATAGGATTAAAATAGAAATGAATTAAATTCCATGCATGACAAGACCTAAAACTAATATATATCATGCCACCCAATTATGCAGGTTATGTATTTTTTTTTCAGCAACAGTTGCAACATTAATTCCCATAACAACAACCAAATAAAGCATTTTATTGTTTAAATATATCTCAATTTCATGTTTTTCAAGACGTAAGCCAGTTTTCCTGAATTGTTTAAAGGATGACTGCACTTAAGGAAATGCGAAAATTGTGACATTTTAAATAAACTTTCAAAACAAGCATTTTTCTTTTGATTGCACAAATGGTCAACATCTAATCTACAACTTTATGTAATTACATTAAATAAAAGTACGTATTTACGAAGTACAAAGCTGTTTTTCTAAGGCGGGGGTCATCACAATTCCTTGAATCTCTGTACGATAATGAGGACACCCACTTTTTCACTGACTTTATACATAGTCAGTGCATGTTTGTCTATTGTTCTCCGTTTAACAGTAGCTGTATATTTGCATTAACAATGTTGCGTCAAAAGGAGATTAATAGACAAACATGCGCTCATGGTTTAAACGAGAAAAAACTGCTTTTTCTTACATTTGCTCTCTCTATTGTACCCAAGGGCTATGACATGTTGAATATTATAATTCACCATGTGATTTCTTACCTCAGGTAACTCTGTGAATACTAAATTCCATCACATGACTTGTAAAGTAGCATGTTTTGTGCTAACTAGGACAAATTTAAAGTGCTCGAACACATTAAATTGTAAGGCATTTGATTTAAAAGATTCTTTACTTACATGGACGTCGCTCATATTGTTCGTTTTTGAAACCTCTGAAAATAGTGTACTTGTGCCATACAGAATAAAGAGGGAATGGGAAAGAGTGAACTCGTATTTTTTTAATATATGTCTTTGTTATTTATCTATAGTCTAATTTTAGACCCATTCTTACAATATTAGCTCCACCTCTCATGCATACCTAATGTTTAATCAAGGGCAGGTAATTGTAAATTCTCTGTATTAGGAAAGAGTAAGGACAGAAAACATAGAATCATTTTATTGTATCACAGTCTAAGATCATTTTAATATTTAAATTCGGCTCAAAATTGACAGGATTCTTTCATAAATATATAAAAATGAAATAAGATTATGATTTAAAAGCAACAGAAGCGTCCGAAAAAGACCCAAAACCCAGCGTTAAGTGCAGTCATCCTTTAACAGGTTTGTGGGGATGTAATTTCGTGTATTTTCTCATACTGGGTATATTTAAAAAAGAAAAAACTCCGAAACTAAAGGGTTTTTTTTTTTCAATTCATGGAGGATGTAAATTTGTGGATGAGAGGCACCCAGAAGTCCACCTATATTGAGCCACCATGAAATCTACTGATACCAGAGTATGCTGTTTACAACATGTCTCAACAAAAAACTAGTCTACTTCCCCAAATCAACATTTTTGAAAAGAGGGTGTTGCAGTCCTTTTGTTATTTTCCCTGAAGTTGTAGCAGTTTAAAAGAAAAATTTTAAGTAACAGAAAACGATCTTGAATTTTTTCAGATACAAAACTATATAAAGCACAATGTAGAAAAATATTTAGAAACTGTATATCAATTTCCAATTTGCCATTAAATGAAATGTAAATTAGTCACATAGCAAAAATAAGTCAAGTTTTCTGTTTTTCACTATGTTCGCGAATCATCATTTTCCACAAAAATAAACCTATAGTGAATGCTATCATTAGTTTTAAAAATGTTTAAATGCTTATACGAAATTTAAATTAATTTCTTGCAGCATGAAATTAAAACCATCCCAATTGGTACTTTTTGAGTAATCGTGAAATTTCAACACCGTGGAATTAAAACGACTTACAGTAATCGTGAGTTTCTGCAACACCCTCTTTGAATGTTTCATACTGTCTTAGTGACTTACACTGTCAATGCAGTATTCATTGAGAAGTTTAAAGAGGAATTTATTCTCAAAATTTTATAAAAATCAATGTTTCTTTTGCATTGTCAGCACCAGATGTATAAGGGTAAAAACAATTATCATCTCCATCTTAAAGCATGAAAACTTGTAGTTTTATAAAGAAATGTAGCAATTCTGTGATATAAATGTGCTGTCAAATCCTGTTCTTAAATAATTGAGACATTTGTGTATGACCTACAGAGAAAGTGAGTATATGGACTCAGGTGATCTACAGAGAAAGTCTGTATATGGAATCAGGTGACCTACGGAGAAAGTTTGTGTATGGACTCAGGTGACCTACTGAGAAAGTTTGTGTATGGACTCAGGTGACCTACTGAGAAAGTTTGAGCATGGACTCAGGTGACCTACTGAGAAAGTTTGTGTATGGACTCAGGTGACCTACTGAGAAAGTTTCAGTATGGAGTAAACTGTATCTTACCTTCTGGTGTTCTGGTCAAGCCAATCTTCTTCTGTCCTGCAGGTTCTTCTAAGACTGGTGTAGAAGGCCAGTCCAACTCTTTGTCTGTTAACAAAGAACAAAGGAAGGTTAATAACAAAAGAATGTTCACACTTTATCTAATGGCAAAGAAATGTGAAATTTCAAACAGAAAAAAAAAAAATATGTGTTATATCTTACTTTTATGTTAGGCAAAAGTTCATCACTTTCTTGGAACTCCAGTTGAAACATGAATGCTCTTGAACACTGGATCCAGGCTAGCGTAACTCCCTGTTATCAAAAAATATAAAGAGATTAACAGAATTAAAGTACTTAAAGATATGGAATCTCTCAGAGTGAATGGAGTGGAGTTTGTATATTACCTTCACTTCTACAGTGGGCTGCAAGCAATGAGTATTCTTCAAACTTTTCCATCAACAAGAAGAACTGCTTTTAAACATTCCATGAAGAACAGTCTTGTCCCTTGTCTGTTAATGCAAAATGTGTACAGATCAGTTAATATAGGTACAAAGAATTCAACAGGTGAGAAATAGGGATATCAATTTACACAACACAAGTAGTGGATCTAACTTCTTACTGTCTCCTGCAGGCCAAAGTCAATTCTGGCTCTCAGTACTCCTTTAGCTGGTGTTCAACTCTTCCTAACCAAAAGAGTGGGAGACTGCAATCAAGGCCTCTGTGAACATAGATAGTTTAGAGTCAAATATGTGTTTTAATTAGGCAGAAAACAGAAATCATGATAGTGCAACAAATGCAGCTTGTTTCTTACCACATTGACTAATAAATGGCTAATGGCATAATGGACACCCTGTACCCTGGCAATGATCTCCCTCCTTACTGTGTGGCTATTTGGTATTCAGCTCTTGGTACTCTTGCTGGCAGGTGATGTAATCTTAAAGACCTTTGACAGTGAAAGGGTTTGATCGTCCTTGTTTCTTTAAGACAGAGATTTTACATATAAGAGGCCCCAGTCATAATCATGTGTGAAAGAGCACAAGCAATAGATTTAGCACATTTGATTTCTATCTTACCCTTTCTTCCATGGCTGGATGCTGTGGATCTCTCTTCCCTGAACTCCTCCTAAAGAGTGATAGATGTGTTCTCTGCCACAAAATTGAAGCTTGCCTAACAATTATTCTGTAAATAAATAGAGTCAAGAGGTGTAATGTATGTCCTAATTGGACTGACTAAGAATAAAACATAGCAATCAAAGAAAATGAAGCATATGTGGCTTGTTTAAAACCACTTTGGCCAATGGTGGCCTGTTGGTTTAGTGGATACCCTGTATCCTGGCAATGGTCTCCTCTACCTTGTGAGGTCCTCCTCTTCCTTGTTTAGTTCTCCTCTTCCTTGTGTGGTCCTTTTCTACTTTGTGTGGTCCTCTTCATCTGCATGGTCCTCTTCTTCTTTGTATGGTCCTCCTCTTCCTTGAGTGGTCCTCTTCTTCACTGTGTGATCCTCCTCTTCAGTGTATGATCCTATTCTTCATTGAGTGGTTGTCCTCAATTTGGCATCTGGCCATACCTGCTGTCACCTGAAAAATTGTCATTTAACAGTTTAATTATTAATGAGGTTCGCTCCTGAGCTTTTGAGCAGATTTATATCTTACCCTATATTTCAAAAATTCTGCGTAAAGCTTGAATTCTTACAATAATTTTGGATTCTACAATGCCAATTAAACTATATTCAGTTAAACTCCATGACTTAATTCCATACCAAAAGCATTAAGTGAGGAACTATATTTTGTGGCGGAAGGTTTTCTAGAAGAAAATGATCATTTTTTTCTCTTTCGAAGTATTTAAAGTATGTTAAGTTTGAATTCCTATTTCTCCATGCAGTCTGCACACAGAGTTATTTTGTGAAGTGAACTGTTTTATACTGGTCCTAAATTATATATTTAATAAATTGTCATGAATTTTATCATCATATTTAATAAATATAGCAAATATATTTTGAAAGTCAAGAAAAAAATATCCCTATTTTAAGCTTAAAATTAGCACTATTTTAGTAACATCTAAAAATTAACATCACAGACCCCCACTTTTTATTTTCTTTTCTGAATATATAAGATACTTTTAACATTTCTTCTTAAATTCAGTAAAATGTCATTACTTTCAAATGATATTTTTGTTTGTTAAATTTTTAATGCCAGAAAAATGAAATTTTTTTGAGTGCAAAAAGGTCAAATAATTGAACATGCGGAGTAATTTGAAAATTTTTTCGTTGTCACAAATTTTTAGGTGTCTATTCAAGATGACATAAGTCTGTGTTTGTTCCCATAATTTACTTGAATATAAAATATTGGAGGAAAAACTTCAAAAATTGATTTATGTGTAAGACGTATTTACAGTGCAAAAAGGTCAAACTAAATGCTCTGTAGCGCCAAAAGAAGCGCATTGACCCCCATTTTTTGTTTTGATTTTTAATTAAGCTATGTGTATAAATTCAGAAAATATACTTGATAAAAAATTCTCATTACTTTTGATGGCAGGATCCAACCTCCTTAAGCTCTTAGTACTTTAGTTGTACGATACTGAGATTTTAGATCAAAGGAGGCTCATTCTACATCAGTTAAGATGAGCATATAAAATGGACCCCAAGTGTGAAAGAGCACGAACGATGGATTCAGTACATTTAATTTGTATCTTACCCTTTCTTCTATGACTGACTGCTGTGGATCTCAGTTCCCTGGACTCCTCGTTGTAAGGGATGGAAGTGTTCTCTACCATGAGATCAAAGCTTTTCTAACCATTCTTCTGTTAATATATAGAGTCCAGAGGTCAAATGAGTGTCCTAATTGGACTGACTAAGAATAAAACATAGCAATCAAAGAAATGTAGCATATGTGGCTTGTTTCTTACCACTTTGGCCAATGTTGGCCTGTTGGTTTAGTGGATACCCTGTATCCTGGCAATGGTCTCCTCTACCTTGTGTGGTCCTCCTCTTCCTTGTTTAGTTCTCCTCTTCCTTGTGTGGTCCTTTTCTACTTTGTGTGGTCATCTTCATTTGCATGGTCCTCTTCTTCTTTGTATGGTCCTCCTCTTCCTTGAGTGGTCCTTTTCCTCACTGTGTGATCCTCCTCTTCAGTGTATGATCCTATTCTTCATTGAGTGGTTGTCCTCAATCTGGCATCTGTCCATACCTGCTGTCATCTGAAAAATTGTCAGGCAACAGTTTAGTTATTAAGCTCTTAGTACTTTAGTTGTACGATACTGAGATTTTAGATCAAAGGAGGCTCATTCTACATCAGTTAAGATGAGCATATAAAATGGACCCCAAGTGTGAAAGAGCACGAACGATGGATTCAGTACATTTAATTTGTATCTTACCCTTTCTTCTATGATTGGCAGCTGTGGATCTCAGTTCCCTGGACTCCTCGTTGCAAATGATGGAAGTATATTCTACCATGAGATCAAAGCTTTTCTAACCATTCTTCAGTTAATATATAGAGTCCAGAGGTCAAATGAATGTCCTAATTGGACTGACAAAGAATAAAACATAGCAATCAAAGAAATGTAGCATATGCGGCTTGTTTCTTACCACTTTGGCCAATGTTGGCCTGTTGTTTTAGTGGATACCCTATATCCTGGCAATGGTCTCCTCTACCTTGTGTGGTCCTCCTCTTCCTTGTGTGGTCCTCTCCTCCTTGTGTGGTCCTCTTCTTCTCTGTATAGTCTTCTTCTTTGTGTGGTCCTCTTCCTTGTGTGGTCCTCTTCTTCATTGTGTACTGTATATACCTGCCTATCAGTCGGTCTGCCTATAAGTCAGTTGTATTGTTTAGGCTTATATTAGAGGGATTGAACCTATGAATTACCATCCTTTTTGTAAAGAGTTTGGACCAATAATTAACTCCCAAAAAACCGACTTATAGGCGAGTATATATGATAGTCTTCCATATGCAGCTTGTTTCTTACCACTTTGGTCAATGTTGGCCTGTCAACATAGTGGATACACTGTATTCTGGTAATGGCCTCCTCATCATTGTGTGGTCATGCACAATTTGGCATCTATCTATACCTGCTGTCATCTAAAAGTTTAGACACAGTTTATTTTAGCTTTTGTACTTAAGCTGGTTAGAAACTGAGATTCAAGAACAAAGAGAGCTCAGTTTGCAACAGTTAAGATTAGCAGAAGAAATGGAATCAGTGATATGTACTTTACCCTTTATTCAGTGGTTGGCTTCAGTTGATCCCAACTCCCTGGACTCTTTACAAGTAGTGTTGTCTTTTTTTGTATCGGGATTGAGACTACCGGTAACTATAATTCTGTTAACATAGAGTCAAGAGTCAGACTAGTACTAGTACCAGTCTTGAATAAAGTGAAAATATAAAATCAAAATCTAAATTGCAACAACTGCTGCTCATTTCTTACCACTTTGACCAATGTTGGCCTGTTGGCATAGTGGATACCATGTATCCTGGCAACGGTCTCCTCTTCCTCAATGTGGTCTCCCCTGCCATCTGTCCATCCCTCCTAGTGCCCTTGACAATGGTAGAAACTGACACAGGATTAGTACAGTTCCAAAACAATTGAAAAAGTACCTTTAAATGCATCATTCTTAAACAAAAACATGTGACAATTACATATTTAGGAAAGACACAAACATTTATAAATGAAAAGAGCAAATAAAGTTTGTTGTGTTAGTAATGTAAGTAAGAAAGGGAAGGGGAGAGAACAGGAAACAAAAAATACATGCAGTAGAAAAAAATACAGCTTACCTTATCTCTGGCTTATAAGATCAAAATACAACCTTTTCTTGGGCTCACTGCATACCACTGGCTCTATTCTGTCTAAATTACATTTGTAAAATGTTTAAATAAACAAATAAATCTAATTTCTAAAATAAAATGTTTCATTGTACTTTATATGTTAAACCCACAACAAATGAAATTTATTTTATGTTTATTCTAACCTAATTAACTATCAACACATACATTAACTCACACATTTTTATATGTAAAGAATTACATGACATCATAGGCTGTTCCTTGGCAGTTGAAATTGGAATATTTAGTCTCAAAATTGGGAAAAATTAACTTTTTGGCATTGGGAATGGTACAATTTATCAATACCAATTCTTAGCACTTCTGGAAAAAACTTAACAAGATAAATATTAACAAAATTTTCAAATGGATTAATGCTAAATCAGAAATATTTAATTATTGTATATTCACTATTATTAATGAATGCATGTATTGTTTAGTAAACATCATGGGACTTCGAGGTTTGAATGTAACATGACGTTTAACCCAATAAATTTTCAACAACCTTCTCAGAAAATAAGTAGTTTACTTGTTTTTGATTGACCCTTTCCTTGAAATGATATTAAGGACATATTTGCAATGTAGTTTTGAACTTTATTTTCTTATTCCCTGTGTTGTTTAAGAGTTGCAATAATTGAAGGACCTTTGTACCATTTTCTGATGCCTGGAAATTTTGAACAACACATCTGAATCAAATTTGTTAGGAAATATACCAGTTAAAAGTATAATTTTGTTTTCTTTTAAAAAAAAACAAAAAAACCCAGGAATTTCATCACTGATATCTGTTCAAAACTCCTGTTAATGTATGGTGATTTTTTTGTCTAAGAACATCTAATGATTAGGGCTGGGACGATATATCGAGATATCGATAATATTGATTCAATGTGAGGATGATACGCATATCGATACGTATGAAGAAATATCGACATATCGTAAAGAAATTTCTGACTTGTGTTTTTCTTTGTTTACTTAACATTTTGGGTTAAATATATATAATAAATAGGCTAAATATAAACATGAAATACATAATTAATACCACTTGGGTAAAATGATTTTGTTTTACAACAGATACACAACTTCTCTGAATAAATTATTCTTATTTGTGAAGAAATGTTTCATTCATTTCACTCCAAAAAATATTTTATATCCAATTCAACATATCGTGATACATATCGTATCGTGGCTCAAATATCATGATACATATCGATATAGAAAAAGCTGTATCGTCCCAGCCCTACTAATGATACTATGATTTTAAATCAAAAATGTCTTGGAAAATTATCAGTGAGTATCAAATTTTTGTATGACCTTAAATTGAATACATATGGGTATCGGATTGCTTTTCATATATATATTTAAAAAAAAAATATTTTTTACGCTTAATTACCAAGTAAAGTGTCTCTATGTCCGAGTAACCAAATAGCAGTTTTACTAAATGATACTTATACATCAATGTTCGATACTGGTTAACTAAGTGCTCAGTGACAACACTATGCAGGTGAGTTAATGCTAGGTTTAGGTATTTATATGCAAATAAACTAATTGAAATGCCTAAGGACAATATCTATTATACAAAGAAAGTTAAAACTTATTGTCTAATACATACTTGGTACCCACGGCATGAGATAACCAGTACACATTATGACGACACTGTTCATTACTACATAAGATTATAATGAACATCAACAAAAATGGTCCGGCGCAAGGGTGCAGCTCAATTTTACTTAACTGAAACAAGGTATATTTAGAAGCAAAATATTCCAAAGTTTGTTGGTAATGCTGCGCAAATATCAACAGCTCAGTTGAATAATTTCTATTTGTAAAGTTTTAAGTTGAATAAGGGTAAAAATGTACAGTCCGGTATAAGTTTCCTCAAATTCCAACCAAATGAGAAAATGCCTAGGATTTGTGCAGCAGTTTTATTAATCCATAGAATATTCTTCTTAGCATTATACAATTTTTATGTAAAAATAAATAGGGTAATCCCTTGCGCTGAAGCTGTTTTGTTGATATGTTTTATTACCTCCAGTAGGTAAGATCAGTGACATCATGATGTGACATCATAATGTGTATTGGCTAAGACATATCGAGGGTACTAAGTATGCACATGAAAATAAATCCAAACTTTCTCTGAATAATGAATATACATTTTATGCATTTTTATAAGCTCATTTGCAAAGAAATGCCTATACTTATCCTTAACTCACATGTGTAGTACAGGTACTAAGACTTAGTCAAATGGCAAAGAAAAATAAACTTTCAGAGAGTCAAAAAAGAAGAGTTTGCATCTTACCTTCACTTCTAGGTAAAAGTAAAGTCTGTCCTTTATCTTGGTTTTCTGGTTCAAGCATAACTGACATCTCTAAAACCCGGGAACCAGGCAAGTCTAACCTTTTTCCTGTCAACACAAGATATGTAGAGGTCAACAAAACAGAAAGTTAAAATTAACAGACTTCATCTAATGAAAGTTATGAAATCTCAAAGTGAATGGAGTAGAGCATGTACCTTACCCTCCTCTATAAGGAAACTTGCAGTCAATCAATACTCATAACTCTTCTATAACATGAGGATCTACTCTTGAACATACATTGTAGGATCTAGGATTGCCTGTTAACAATGTAGTTAGTAAATGTTATTTTAATCAGTAATGAGAAAGAATGATGCAACTGAAATACTAAAAGAAGTGCAGCTTTTGCCTTACCTGTAGGATTAGCATCAGTCAATTTCAGCTCTATGTACTCTTGCTGGCAAGTGATGCATGCACTCTGCTTATAATCTTAGGATGGGTATGGTCTCTAAATGCTTCTGCAAAATACAAATTTAAGATCAAGAAAGGTTCATATCTACATCAAGTATGAAAGCGCACAATAGATGGAGTCTGTACAAGGAGAAAGAGTAGGTCTTTGGATCTTACCTTTCTTCTATGGTTGGCTGCAGTTGATCCTTGCTTCCTGGACTAATTGTGACAAGTAATTGAGTCTTTTTTGTAGAATCAAGGCTTGTTAAGTCAATAATCTGTTCACACAGAAAGTCAAGGGGTCAAAAGAGTCCCTTATCTGAATCAACAGAAATCCAAAATGCAATAAATATAGCTGGTTTCTTACCACTTTGGCCAATGTTGGCTTGTTGACATAGTGGATACCCTGTATCCTGGCAATGGTCTCCTCCTCAGTGTGTTG